AAATTGTCACAAAATCAACCTGCCATTTATTCATTTCGTTTTGAAGATTTTTGGGGTCTTGGTCTGTTTTGCACAAATCATAAGAAAAAAAAAAAATACCAAAGATACAAGGTGTCAATAAAACCACAAAAAGTACTTCTTATGATTTGTCTTTGTACATGGTGTAATGATTGCTTTTTACATTCTGTGAAATAAAATAATATATGAATATTTGAAGTGTTTGTTCATTAAAACTGATGTAAATACTGTACAGCATATTATATTAGATGAATGCACTGTGTCTGAAATTTTACATTTTGATTGTTTATTAGCCTCCACAACATTATTTTTGCAATTTCAAATTAATTTAAGATTCCTTGAGCCACGGGAGGAGGCCAAGTGTTCCCTCTAATTTTCCATGTTTCTGAGCATTCACACAAACCTGAGCATTTCATGGACCATGGTGAGCAACATCAGACACTGGGCCGAACCAGTATAACACCTGTCCAAAAAGCTGAGGTCAGAACAACTTGATATGGGTAGGGCTGGACTGGCACAAAACCACAACTCTGGCATTTTGACTTAGACCAGCTCACGTGACTGGCTACCATGTAGCTCTGCCACTGATTTTGACAGGTTGTTTGCTTTCTATATTGTACATTCAATAATGGACTGCTCCTTCTAAACTGTGGGCCAGTCACTTGGGATAGTAAAATGGAGGAAAATAATTAAATAGAACCACATCACCTCCAAAAGATGCTGGCCCATCTGGTATCTGCCCTGAAAGCCAAATGGCCAATCCAGTCCTGAATGTAGGTGTGTAACAAAAAAAAAAACAACCTATTAACAGAACATATGACTGAATAGAGATTTGTGACACCAATAAAATGATCTCTCATCTGTCACTTTTATATTAGTACACATCATTTTTAGCATAATTAAGTCTCAATACCATGTACAGTATATAAATATGGTCCAATATTGTCCACTCATAAATACAGTAATCCCTCGTTTATCGTGGGGGTTACGTTCCAAAAAGAACCCGTGATAAGTGAAATCCGTGAAGTAGGATTTATTTAAAAAAAGCCAAAAAATGTGAGGACGAAATTTCAAATATACTGTATATGAACAGGCCAGCGATCCCGCGGCGTGCAGCCGATGTGTTAATGTTTAGACATTTAAGCATAGAAGAGACCAGTGGCGGGCTGTGCATTTCAACCTTAGGCCTTCAGTGACGTCACATACATGAACGCAATACTGTATAGGCTCGTCAAGCAGCACTTAATTTCAGGAGCATTTAAAACCATCAAATATGCATTCACAATTAAGAGCAGGAAACTAAATTTACAGATAGTCAAAAACAAAAAGATGATTTAAAAATACGAAATAAAATGCCACCCAAATTACGCTGTGTGATCTGAAACAAGTCTGTCCAATAAATTGCGCAATGTCGCAGTTTCATATAAGACACCAACCAAACAATAACAAAACAAACTATTCTTTGAAAATAAACAGATCATTTTCATTTTGAAAATCGGCGAAACAACAGCAAATAACTGAAAATGTTGAGCAGCTGAGATTGAACGAACTTTCGTGCACGAAGGTGACTACAATGCGCCATTATAAATTGCAGGTGAGCAGATTTATTTGATA